TCCTGGTACTATATTGAGGAGAAAAGACAATGAACTGGTAAACAAATAAATAACCAAGGTAATTTCAAATTATTATAAGCAGAGTGAGAGAAATTAACTAGGTGAAGTGATAGTGACCAGGAGAAGAGTAGTCTTTAAATAAGGTGGTCCTGTCTCCCCTACTCTCTTCTCTGACCACATGCTAATCCCCAAAATCCCATAGGTAAGACTATAGGTGCAGATGAAAAATATGGTCTTAGGACAGACAGAAACCATATAAAAATAAAGTTCAGGCATGCAATAAAGAAAGGAAAAGGGGAAATTTTTTCCTGATGTTCATCATCAGAGCATTTGCTTTTAAATTCATCTTTTTGAAACTCCTAAATCCTGATTTTTAAAAATTAAAATATACAGACATGATGGTTTGATCTATTTCGATCTCCTATCTTAGTTATCAGAGCAGGGTACTTGAAAGAACTGAGAATGAGCTTTTTAAAAATCAAGTTTATTTTTTTCTCTATGGACAAAGCTTGTGATAAGAGACCAAACCTCAAAGGAGAAAACCTTGTATTCTTTTCCTCCAAACTTCCTCAATCAGAATCAAGTCTTAGAAAATGGGAGGAAAAAAGAGGCAAGGTGGGAAGGTTGCTGGGACTTGAGATGGAGATTGTGTCCTCTACTTGAAAAGTAATGGGAAAACTTCCACCTTGTACGTTTTTACTTCATGGTCCATCTTTTCATACTCAGAAGATAGAATTTCTCAGTTACTAACAGGTTGAAAACTAAAATCTTCTCTTTGAGTTCCATATAGGGAAGAGATTAGATTAGGGTAGAGATTTTGGGGTCCTACAAGTCCTGGTTCAAATTCCTTATGTACCACGTAAATCCATGTTTGACCCAGACAAGTTATTTAATCTCCCTAAGTCTCAGCTTTACCATCTATAAAATGGGGGAACATTGTGCTATGGTTAATTATATGTATTGACTTGACTGGGCGAAGGGATGCCCAGATAGCTGGTAAAACATTATTTCTGAGTGTGTCTATGAGGATGTCTCCTGAAGAGATTTAGCTTTTGAATCAGTAGACTAGGTAAAGAAGATTGCTCCAATGCAAGTGGGCATCATCCAAACCATTAAAGGCCTGAATAGAAGAAAAAGGGGGAGGAAGGGTAAATTCACTCTCTGTGCTTGAGCTGAGACATCCATCTTCTTTTGCCCAAGGACATGGATGCTCCTGGTTCTTGGGCTCTCAGATTCAGTCTGGTACTCACACCACTGGTACCTCATTCTCAGGTCTTCGGACCCTACTGAATTACACCACTGGCTTTCCTGATTCGCCAGCTTGCAGATGCAGATCATGGGACTTCTCAGCCTCCATAACTGTGTGAGCCAATTCCTATAATAAATCTCCTCTTACATATATTTATATGTCCTGCTGGTTCTGTTTCTTTGAAGAATGCTAACTAATACACACTTAAATCTCATACTTGGGTTTTCTGTGAGGATTACATGTAAAGAAGATAGGACAATGCTTGGCACATAATAAAACCTTCAGAAGAAACATTCAGAATCTGGGGGATGTTACTTTTACAATCCCAGAACTACAAGGGCCACACTCACTCTCCTCGAAAGGAAGTGCTGTCCACGCAGAAATTCTGGACCACACTTCCCAGAATGCCAAAGAGGTACTAGGGGTAAAGGCATGCCTGCCTGGAGCAAAAATGCTTCCAACTAAAAGGACTCTATGAAGGGATTTTATTCAGCCTTCTTTGCCTAAACCACATCAACCATAATGCAGCATTTCCATTTTTTAAAGTTCTTTTCATAAAAGACAAAGCAATTTCATTAGAAGTACCTAAGATTGACATATAACAAAATGGTATGTGGAGGTGCCCAGTAAGAATGAGGGGCTCCTGTTTTTTTATCTTTCTTACCAGAGAACAAAACCCTGATAGATTCTCATTTTACAGATACTAAGGTTTCCTGCAGTATATTGTATTGACAAAAGTGCTTAAAACTCATCCACTTGTTTTCCCTCCTCTTTGACATAGTTTAACAGGATTTGGAGTCACAGGGAGAATTTGATTCCTCAAATTCACACCTAAATCTCACATCAGTAGAAGGAGCCAGAGATGTGCCTCAAGTGCTCCAGTCATCAAGATTCCACCGAAGAAGAAACAGAGCCCAAAGATGGAGAAAAAACATTCATGTGTTTCAGCCAAGGTGATGCCAGCTGGAGAGGTGAGCAGTATCTGCTGCTTCAATGAGTCAGATAAAATTTACCAAACTTGATGGAGCTGAACAGGCCTTGAAAAATATTTGCCTAAATAAACCACGTCCCTTGCATGGCTCCTGGCAGCTTTCTCTTCGGATAATATGCCTCCGAGGTACAAAGTTCCTCACCCATATTCAGTCTAACTGTCGGACCTTGATAGAGAGGTTAGAGAACTGCCTTTGGTGAGTGAGAAAATTGCGTTACTCCACACTGACCTGCCAACCCTTCAAAGGATATGTCAATATAAATTTATAGAGTGCAGAGGCTGCACCTTAGACAGATGACATGGATGGGGAAACTGAATTTAATTATATCTGATGAATAGAAAAACTTTTCACAAATATGCAGTGCATAAGACATATGTCAGAGAGTGGGTGTTAGTATCCTAATTTGCATACGATAGCTTTGAAACAGAGAGATTCTACATTGCCCAAGTTTGTGTAAAACAAGAGAATGCATGGGATACAATTAAGTTGTCTTGGTCTATACTCTTCTAACAGTCACTTTGTATCATATAACCTCGGAAGTTCGAAGTCTCATTTTCAAGTACAGCCTAAATTATAATAGAAAGTAAGTTAGAAGTCAATTAATTTAACCAAGTGAATTTTTTGAGATATAAGAATACCACTGACACATGTTGTAGAGATTAGGCTATGATTAGCACTATTCTTTATTTTTTATTGTTTGAATTTTTTTAATTGAGATTCATAATATGCCGGAGTCCAGCTCCAGCCGGTAGGGTTCCTGAGGGATGAACAGCGTCGGCGAAAAAAGAAGTTACGGTGAGACTGGAAGTGAGGTTTCCAAGTCTGATTTATTCAAAGCATTCAAGCACTTATATAGGGTCCAGGTCACGCGCTTATGATTTCATGGAATTATCTCAGTACGTAATTTTGGCAAACAAAATGGGTACATAAGCATATCTTGTTACAATATTAGCACAGTATGTCAGTGAGAAGTAAGCAACCTTTGTTAATTACAGATATTGACCTTTGCTATATGTCTACTAGGCGTCTAGATGTTTAAGAATGATTGCAAAACGGGGTGTAACATCTAGATTTAGTTCCTCATGGGTCGAATGGCCCTAAGCCTCTATGTTTATTCCTGTAATAACGAAAGCAGAAGTATTGCAAAGTGTAAGGGGACCAAATACACACAGGCCCCCAGCTCCGTCTGATCGAAAGCCACACAGGCACAGTGCTTGGGGTTTCTCTTTTACCTTTAACTATTTTATAGGGTTCCCAATCCTCATCATAATCCCAATTCCTCTGTGTCAATATATTATGATATTTTTCTGCAACTTTATCAGGGTTATGGGTTGCTTTAGGAGAGTGTACTTTTTGCATATCTTTGCTTCTGGGTGGGTGTCACCATTTACCTCCTGTCCTAACAGGCCTAGGATAATATCTACCTCCTAGAAGGACCTGAGGAGGGAATGTTCTCTTTTGAGGCTGATTATTAGAAGGCTTCCTCCTTGAGGGATGTCCAAATTCCTTTACCGCCTTTCCAGGAGGGGGTCAGAACGTTTTTTCTCTTCAGGCTGCTGTTCCCTGAACCTTCCCTAGAAGGCCAGGTTACATCAGCTTCTTTCCCCTGCTTGGAGAGTTTTTCCCCAAGATATCCCCATGTACAGAAAAAGAACAGCAAGAGCAATATTGCTAAGATTAGTAGCATGAATAGGATCAGGAGCGGCCGACCGCCATCTTCTGAGGGTCGGCCGGCATTCCCTCATCTCTCTCCGGGACCGTTGCCCTTGGGTAGAGGCTTAGCTGACTGGTGGGGGACTCCTGGCAATAATAGTTTACATCATTGTGAAATTTCAGTTGTACATTATTTCTTGTGTCACCACATAAGTGCTCCCCTCCACCCCTGCTTTCCCTGGAAACCACTAAACTATTATCTTTGTCCATGCATTTGTTTATATTCCACATATAAGTGAAATCATATAGTGTTTGTCTTTCTCAGTCTGGTTTATTTTGCTTAGCATAATACCCTCCAGCTCCATCCATGTTGTTGTAAATGAGATGATTTTGTCTTTTTTATGGCTGAGTAGTATTCCATTGTATATATATACCACATCTTCTTTATCCAATCATCAGTCCTTGGGCACTTGGATTGTTTCCATGTCTTGGCTATTGTGAATAGTGCTGCAATGAACATAGGGGTGCATTTGTTACTTTGGATTGTTGATTTCAAGTTGTTTGGGTAGATACACAGTAGTGGGATAGCTGGGTGGTAAGGTATTTCTATTTTTAGTTTTTTGAGGAATCTCCCTACTGTTTTCCATAGTGGCTGCACCAGTTTGCATTCCCAGCAGCAGGGATGAGCACTATTCTTTGTGACAAACAGTTTTAGACTATGCATGTAGACTTTATCTTATTGTTATACACAAAACATCTCTGGTTTTTCCCAAACGAGAAAATACCCAAAACGCCAAGGAGAGAAAACTGAATTTTACTTGCACTCAAGTACTTGATGAGCTGACTGTAACTCAGGACCTCAGTGAACATTCCCTTTAAGTTGCACATGAGCACAGGCACACATTTTGTAGCACGAATCCAATCTCTAGTGACTCTTCCAGCTGGTCTTGACTCCAGTCCTGAGATGTACCCCTGCATCTCTCATTCAGGGCCATATCACTCCAGATATACAAAAATAAAGAAAAAATGGAAAGAAAGAAAAGCAAGGAAGGAAAGAAGGAAGGAAGGAAGGAAGACCATGAAAAGAACCAATACAAAGCCCAATTTTAAAGCAAATTTTATTTTTTGTTTCGTCTGCATGCTACTAGTACCATCTCTTAATCTCCGTGTTACTTCAATGCCTTCACGTTGCCCTTTGGCTATCAAAATTTCTCTTGGTGTGAGTCCTCTTGGGCTTGTCTATTCTCCAATGTCATCTGCTCCACAGTTGCATCTCTTCTTCCCTTTTCCACAAAGCTCCCCGCTCCTCATGTGGATCTAAAACAGATGTTAGGAAAGCAATGTGATTGGGCTAAAGCATCTACGCAAAGAATTTCTGAAGCGACGTTTCCCCCTCACCCTAGCCCCATATCTTCCCTAACACGCATACGTATTTATCCTAATGCTGTTTAAATTACAGAAATCACAGGCACAAGCTATCCGGGAAGAGATCTTTTAAAAAAAAGTCTTGGTTTAATGATTTGCAAACACCTGTTTTCAGCTCCAGAATATTCTCTTCAAATAAAACTTATACAGAATCCCAGGTACAAAATAGACAAAAAAAAAAAAAACAGAAGTTCTTGTTGAAGTAATGGCAGGGAAACATAAAGCCCAGCCCTCTTAGTTGCTCTCTCACACAGAATAGCCCCAGACACACAGCCTCAGAATCTCTGTGGCTTGCTTTCAGAGTGAACTTCGAAAACCACTGAAGAATCAAAGATGTCTCAGCTTTCTCTGAGCCTTAGTTAGTGAGAAGAGAAAGAGGCAGAACTTTAGCCACTTGCTTCCATCATGTAAGACAAACTAAAGGCTATAAACAGCTATCCCATTCTCACTCAATGCCAGTGTCCTGTCTATGGTCCACTCTTCCCTTAAAAGAAGGAATCACAGAAAAATCTCTACTTACACACTTGTCCTTCCACTACCAAAACTTTTTCTAAACTCTGTTGACTAGAGGACTCCAACTTAATCGTTGACCTAGAACATAAAAGGGACAAATGCCACAAGTGTTAAGGAGTACTGTCCCACCACACGCCCATCTGGGTGAGCAGTGTGGGATAGGTTGCTGAGAGACCAAAGAAAAGACCTGGAGACAGCAAACAAGACATATGGGTTTACTGGGAGTTACTTACAGGGAAGGTCCAGCGGCAGCCAGCTGGACAGCAATGTGCACCCGCTACCACCCCCTGGGAGAAGCTTGCTTAAGTAGGCAGAGGAACTAGGGCTGTGTGCTTGCCAAGGGGGATCATCCCTGTATGACCTGCATTCCAAGCACCAGAGCCTCCCCCCTCCTCAAGACCTTGAGGGTCTTTGTGCCAATTATCCCATGAGAAAGCAGCTGGGTCGGCCAAGCCCAGGACTGCTATCATCATAAGTGTTGGCGTGTAGCCCAGATAAGAAGTTTCAAGGACACATGGCCGTTAAAGGGACATGTCCGCTAATGCCCCTACAAATACCATACTCTTTTAAATGAAATATTCTAAGAGTCAACGTATATGAAGCATAATCAAAATATCTGTAGAGGGGCCAGCCTGGTGGCACAGCGGTTAAGTTCACATGTTCCGCATTGGCATCCCAGGGTTGACTGGTTCAGATCCCGGGTGTGGATCCACACACTGCTTGGCAAGCCATGCCATGGCAGGCCTCCTGCATATAAAAAGTAGAGGAAGATGGGCATGGATGTTAGCTCAGGGCCAGTCTTCCTCGGCAAAAAGAGGAGTATTGGCAACAGATGTTAGCTCAGGGCTAATCTTCCTCAAAAAAAAAAAAAATCTGTAGAATGGTGAAATAAATAAATTATATTTTTAAATAGGTACATTAAATGTATTTCAAACTCCTACTTTAAAATCCTCCTCAATTTTTTTATTTTTGTAATGTAATGGCCTTATTCATTACAAACAGCTTTCCTTTCTCATTAGTTTCAAATTGGGGAGCAGTCAAATCATACATGGACACATATGATGAATAACATATTTTCTGGATGACTGGTACATTTTTACTCACCAAAACTGCCAAATGGCAATGATATTCTCAAGTTGAGTGCTGTCTAAAATGTGATACTTTTAAAGAAGAGTTATAATAATAACAGCATTAGTTAAAATACACTGAACTTACTATGAGGAAAGCCTTATTCTAAGATCTTTTGATATATTTTTACTCATTCAATTCTCATTACAGCCCTGTGCTTTAGTTATTGTTATTGTTTCCAATTTACAGAGGAGGACAAAAAAGCACAAAAAGATTAAGTAACTTACTCACTGTCAAATACGCGGTAAGCAGCAGAGCAGGGGTTTGAACCTACGCAGTGTGGCTTTGGGATTTCTGCTGCTAACCACTATGCAATACTGCCTCATGTAAAACACACGCTAAACCTGTGTGCTCACACTCTACTGGAGCATGAGAATGCATCAACATGCCAGATGGTCATAAAGAAAGAAGGCTAAAATTAGCCCAGGGAATTTGCCCCTCCATTAGAGTCCATTTTGATCACAATTCTTAATTGCTGATGATCCCATTTGTTTATCTCCTGCTCACATAGCTCCCTTTAAAGTCAGACATATATCCAATTTGGAAGTTTAACAAACACGTCAATTTTAACATATCAAAAATAGAAAATCCTAATTTATCCCACCCCACCCCCTGCAAAGATGTTCCTAATACAGTGTCATCTTAGTAAATATTATCTCCACCAGTCCAGTCACTCAGGCTAAAATTGTGGTGTGGTAGATAGCTTCTGATGTGCTCTAATGACCCCTGCTTCTGGCATGCATGCCTTTGTCCTGTGTCCCTACCCTCCGTTAAGTCCATTGTGGGCTGGACCTAATGGCTTGCTTGTGATGAATAGAATACAGCAAAAGTGATTGGATGTCACCTCCATGAGCAGTTTACAAAAGACTGTGACTTCCATCTTGCTAGCAGTCTGTTTTGTGTTAGCACTGTCTGTGTCCCCTCGTGCTTGTTCACTCTAATGAAGCAAGCTGCCGTACTGTGAGATACGTGGCAAAGAGCCCTGTGTGGCAAAGAGCCAAGAGAAACCTCAAGCCAACAGCTTGTGAGGAATTGAATCCTGCCAATAACCAGTGAGTGAGCTAGGAGGCAGAGCCTTCCGAGTTGATCCATGAGATGACTGCAGCCTTCGGAGACACCCAGAGTCAGAGGACTCACTGAGCCATACAGGGATTCCTGACCCAATGAAACTGTGAGATTACCAATGGTGTTGTTTTCAGCCACTAAATTTTGAGGTAATTTGCTATTCGGCAATAAGTAACTAATATTCCTGGAGTCAAACTTGAGTCCTTGCTTTCTCTCACATCTTATATCCCACCTGTTGGCAAATATTGTTGGTTCTTTCTTAAAAATATAACTAGGATCTGATCAATTCTAAATACCTTCACTGAGACACCCTGGATGCAAGCCACCATACTGTCATAGTGTAGTACTGCAATAACCTTATAACTGGCTGCTGTCTTTGCCTCCTTGAGTCTATTCTTGATACAACAGCCAAACTGATTCTTTTAAAACATCAACCAGGACTTGCAGCAACGGCAGCCACCTGGTTCTCGGCATCCCTGGCCCTGCAGGTGGCAAAGGTCCTGCTTGCTTTCTCCGTCGTCAGATCTCTAGTTACTCACTGAGCAAGGCTGAGACCAAGCCCGTATATAGAAAACAAGAAAATATCCACAAAATATAAGAATGTCCGAGAGAGATGCTACTTCCTAGAACAGAGAAGACAGCTGTTGACGCAGACTTGCTCGTGTTTACCCCACTGCAACACCATTTAAATCTTCTTCAACCCCACTTCAAAGCTGTTGAAACGGGTTATCTGATCTTAGAAAGGGGGTTATCTATGGCAAAGGAGGAAATCAAACTTTTAAAGGTCCCTAATTTTATGCATGTGACCCTTGTAAAAATTCAAAAGCACTGCACAGCTCTTAAAGATTTCTGCACTAATTAACCAGCAGCACCAGACTTGTGGGAAATGTGAGTAGCATTTCCCAATTAAAACTGATGTAACTGATAATGTTTCAGCAGAATCGTCCATTCAAAATCCCAAAGCAGGAGTAGTAACCTTATGGAATAAACTTTATAGTCTGAATTTAGATTAGATGAACATGTGAAGAAGAAACATATTAAACTTTCAAGAGAGCAATACTGCAAGACCACAGATGTGCTCACAATCAAAATGACAGAATTATGATCATTCAATTTATCTACTCACAGTTTCATACCTTGAATCTTAAGAAACCAAAGAATAAGAAAAAAGTAAGATGGAACCATATGTGAAGGAATATATATGAAAAAAAACATCGTTAGAAGAAAAATATATACAAAATAAAGCTACCCAAAAGAAACATAGGGGTCTGCCTCATGGCCTAGCAGTTAAGCCAGCTTGCTGTGCTTCAGTGGCCCAGATTCAGTTCTCAGGCGCAGACCTACACCACTCGGCAGCAGCCATGCTGTGGCGGTGATCCACATACAAAATAGAGGAAGACGGGCACAAATGTTAGCTCAGGGCAAATATTCCTCAAGCAAAAAGAGGAAGATTTGGCAAGAGATGTTAGCTTAGGGCAAATCTTCCTCAGCAAAAACAAAAAAAACAACAAAAAAGCCCATAAAGAACTGTTGGTGCTAAACAAGTTAAGATCACAAAATGTCTGTTCATCTTAAGAATGAGGAGGGAAAGAAAAATTGCATTTCTAAGTACAAAGTATCAATGGAAAGTTTATATTGAATTAACATGAATTATTGTCAAAATATCCACTTAATTGTGAGTTGTATGACAATGCGTATGTGTAATCTACACATGTAATCAAGAATTTGGCTAACCTTTGTCTCTAGTTCCTGGGACATAAACTCTAAATCCTTGGAATTTCCCAAGTGATTGGAGTGTCTTTGTCAGTCGTGGTGAGCACCTGGGGCCACATCTGGTCATTTACACTAACAAGATGACTCAGGATGGGGCTGGCCATGCTAGAAGGACCACCGATGTGATTAGCAAGTTGGGCTTTCAGCAATAGGATATCAGCCCAACATCTAGGGGGCTGAAGATTGACTTCAACCATGTGGCCAATGAATCAATCAATCACAACTACTTAATGAAGCCTCAATAAAAACTCTGGACACTGAAGCCAAACTGAGCATCGCTGGCTAGCAATATTCTTTGAGTATTGTCACAGTTCAATGCTGACAGGACAATGCATCCCCAAGCATGACAGAAGCTTCACATTTGGAACCCTCCTAGACTTTGTCCTTTGCATGTCTTTTCCTTTGGCTGGTTCTAATTTGTATGCTTTTGCTATAACAAAATTGTCACCTTTAAATACAGCAGTTTCCTGAGTTCTCTGAGTCATTATAGCCAATTTTCAAATCTGAGGGTGGTTGTGAGAACCCTCAAATTTGTGGCCAGCTGGATAGAGTGAGCATGGCCCTTGGAACCCCCAAATTTGTGGTTGGTGACGGAGGTGAGAGCAGTCATATGCGGACCATTCCCTCAGACTGTGCAGTTTGCCTAACTCCAGGTACTATCTCAAATTTGGTATAAACTCTCAAATATTTTTTTAAGCTGGTGTTTTATAGTGGAATCTAATTTTTCTTGCTATATATATATGCTCAAAAGAAAAATCAGATGATCCTACTAATCAGTCCCAAATCCTGGAGGGACTCCCACCCTACTCAGTAAAAACCAAAGTCTGTTCAGTGGTCCACAGTGCTATAGAGTGAACAGGCTCCTGGGGCCCTGTGACTTCTCTAACCGCATTTCCTCCTACTCTCCTTCTTTATGAGACTTAGTCATTTTTGGAAAACTGGCCTCTTTGGTGTTTGTGGTGTCCTCATGGCTTTTACGCTTGCTGTTTCCTCTACCTGGACTCTTCTCCCCAATATCAACATAACTCTCTCCCTCACTAATGTCCATCTTTTGCCTCTGGCTTCTTGCAGGACTTTTTTTTTAATCTTTGATTTCCCGTAGTTTGAAAACGACACATCAAGATGTAGTTTTTTGGCCTTTATCCTACTTGATCTTCTCTGAGCTTCCTGGATCTGTAGTTTGGTAGGATTAGGTCTCAGTAGTTTAGTGAGCCTTTGCCTCTGAACTGTGAACTTCACACAAGCTTCTCAGCCTCCCCTCCCTCACCACCCTTAAGTGCGACAGGATGGCTAGAGTGGGCTGGAGTTGGGTATTTCCCTTCCCCCTAGATTAGTTACACTCTGAT